CCTGCTGAATTAATAGAACTCATCTAACCATTTAGACTATCCCAATAAACAAGTAGTACCATGATGTTTTGCTATATTATATGAATCCCTTAGAACTACTGCTACTAAAAGCAGGACAGAACAGAATTGCAGAAGCAGAAATTAGAGGAGAATAAGACTAGAGACTGAACCTGGAGAGTATATCATACCATCAGTCTTTCATTACACAACTGTAATACATAGTTGTAGGTATATATAATGGAAATCAGAAAGTTCTAGATACATATCTCCCAGTAACCGAATTGGTTATGACATGGCGGAACCTTTTCCTTTAGGGACCACCTGGATTAATGATTGCAGAAGGTGGTGTAGTGTTGCTAAGAGCTATAACATCATATGTTTTTTATTCTTATGATGATAACATGCTGTCATGACAACCTATGCATTTTATTTTTCTGATGAAAACATAAAACTATTTATGGCCTAGCAGCCAAAAGACTACGAACCTCCCTTTTTTAGAAGCTGCGATGAAAATGAAGCCAAGAACACATGGACCAAAAATCCTTTAAGAATGGCAGTTGGAAACGTCAACAGCAGGCATTTGGTATTAGCTCTCAAGGTCTGTAAGGAAAACTTGTTCATCGAAGTAAGATTAATATTTAGCTAGCTAAATCAAATGAATTTACTCCTGCAGGTGAAGAGCATCCTTGATCCTTGTGAGGATGACAATGAGGACCATCATGAGGACGAGGTGAACTTGGGAGCTGATTCTGATCAAAATCATTACTCATCTTCTGATAGTGAGGTACATTAATCAAAATTAAACTACAGTAGAATTACATGTTTTTTATTCTACTTGTCCTGATTTTTATGGTTGGGGCAGGTTAATATTTTTTGGAAAGGTTGTAATAGGTATTTTATGCTTTTAATTTGTATGCTTGACTTCTAGATATAAGAGTGTTCAAACATAGATCACAAAGCAGAAATCATAACCTTTAATTTGTATTCAAATTTTGGGTCCTGATTTGTATGCTTTTAGATATAAGAGTGATGCAAAAAATATATATAACATTGAGAGAATTTTTTCCTGTAATACAGTTTCAAGACTTGATGTTTTCCTTGAACTCTAAATTTGCTAACCTAGAAAACATCATTGTCTCTAAAAGTTGTGTTCCTCCTTAGATATGCCTGTGAAAGATTTCAAAACTAACTACTAATGTATTTTAGATCCACCCTTCTCTTGCTGACAAGTACTATGTGGCTCCTGCCGGTAATTCATTGACCCTGTTTAGTTTTTATATCAAGTTTATGTTATTGTAATATTGCTTTAAAAAGTTTTTTCAGCAGGTGAGAAATTTACAGGTGAAGATAATGGAATCAATTCTGATGGTGAGGCAGTTTTTGAAACATTATTTTTGAAATAAATACAATTAGTTGAATCAGTTAAATAAAAAAATGATTTCTAGTGTTAAAGGATACCATTCCTCTTCTTTTTTACTCCCTTTTTTAACTCCAAATGGGCTGCATTCTGCTTTCAGTTGTCAATTAGATGGCTTTTTAATAGCCATCCTATCTATTAAATTGGTACCTTTGATAAAGGAAGATATTCTCTCTTCTATTTATGCACATATACGTATATGCATATATTTATATATTCTAAATATTTCCTTATGGTTATAGCTGATACTCAAGATGCTGCACATGAAGGTGAATTGGTGAGTCAGGTGAAGGAATGGATTTATTCTAGACATATCAGCACTTTTGATCATGCTGACATTCTTTCCAATTTTCCAGATATCTCATTGGTAATTCTTTGGTTTGCATCTGCCTTTTATTTTGTGCTTTTCTCTTAGGGATGATTTTATTTGCGTTCCTAAAAGACCATATATTAACTCTAGGTTATTACCCTTAATTTGTTTGATAAACAAACTAAATAATTATTATATCTTTATAAGGTCCTGTAGACATAAGTATATCAAACTTCAACCTTAATGGCAATGGAAATTTTTGTAGGAAAATTTTATTTTACTTATTTGACCTTTAGTGAATGCATATATTTATTAATTGCAATAGTTTGATGATTCCATTTTGATGGTCTGCAGGCCCTGACTGAAGGTAATAGGAAAGAGTTCAACCACTTTTGCTAGTACATTTTTAAGATGATGGAACTACTATACTATCCTGCTCTTTTCTTCTTGATTCACGCATTTGAAATTAATATAAACCGTCAGTTATTGTGGAGAAGTTGCTAAAAGAAGGACTTTTATGTAAGACTGGCAAGGATTGTTACACCATCAAAAGAGAAAAGGTTATTATTATTATCATTATTATTTGTCTATTTATTTTCTCGCTCAACTCTTGCTCAAAACTCTTCTGACAAATCTTGTACCTTTAGGATATGTTTTCAAAAAATGATGAAGTGAAAGAAGAAGAAGAAGTGGAAATGCATGACACCCAAGAAAGGATGAATACCAATGTTGATGAGGACTACATGTACATGAAAGTAAGGATACATTAAGTCTTTTGATAGAGTGATTTGAATATAAGATGCTTTCTATTTTGTATTAGGTAATAAAAAGTTAACAAGTTAATATATTAATTAGTAAGGAATTAGTAGTCTTGTATTCTATAAATCGCTCCATTTTGAGCACAATGAGGAATGTAATGAAAATTTGATAAGCTTCTTTTCCTTTTACCACCTTCCTAATTTTTATAGTTGCCAACATCCTCAAATTGCCGTGCATCCTTCTCATCATGTGTTTCTCTTCTCTATTCCTCCCACGCCTAATTTTTGAAGGAGAAAAGCTCACCATTTTCATTACATTCCTCATTTTGCTTCAAATGGAGCTATTTATAGAATACAGGACTAATAGTTCCTTGCTAATTAATCTATTAACTAATTTATAAACTCTTAAAATCCTAATACAAGATATTAAGCATCTTATATTCTAATTACTCTATCATCTTTGTTGTTTTTCTCTAGTTGCTAGAGGTTTTGCATTCTTAGGACTAAATACAGCCAACTTGTCTGCAGGCTCTATATCATGCTCTTCCAATGAAATACGTGACGGTAGGGAAGCTTCAACAAAAGCTGACTGGAGAAGCCAACCAGAACGCAATAAGGAAATTAATGGACAGAATGGTTCAGGAAGGCTATATTAAGAACACAGGAAAGAAACGGCTTGGTGAGTAACCGAGTATTTTCTAGGGCAAGGTTCACAATGTGCTGCAAGAGGCTGTCCGGATTATTAATTCTGGATTTACGGGATTTACCGAATTCTAATAATTTAAATTTCATCTATTGCCATACAAAACCGAGGCAGATAATTTTTGCCATCCTTTTTTCTTTTCTTTTTATTTCACATAGAAGAGAAACCAGTTAGAAAAAAAAAGAGGCTGCCAGAAAAGAATAGAGAAGCCAATCACAAAAAGGAAAAGTTACAAACATACCACACAATTTTTTTGTATTTACATATCTAACTCCTAAGATTTGATATTTACCCTTGACACCGTGATGTCATTAACCTATGCATGGAATTATGTGTTTCACTTTTAAAAAGATTGTAATGGTGGTATTTTTGATGTGATGTTAAAAATTTGAGTGGTATGCTTGTTAAAAACAATGTTAGGTATTAGATATCTAAATAAAAAAGAATTATGTGGTATATATGTAAATGACCCCTTAAAAAAATACTGAGTTAATAACAGACGCATCATGTTCCTGTTTTGGTTGGTCATATACTGATAGCAATGCAATGATGTATTCTAAATCTCTTTAAACTTCTCTGGCTCGTTGTTGTAAATATGCTATTCTACAGCAACCATGATCTATGAATGAAATTCTTCACGCCTTAAAAGAAAAAAAATATGAGGATTTATTCTTCTGTTTCATGTACCAATACTGCAATAAATTTTATTTCAAGCACAATTTCTTGCAGGGAAGCTTGTGGTTCAATCTGAAGCCAGATTCAAGAAGCTTGCCGAGGTCAAAGAATTACTAGATGGAAAACCGATGGTAAAAGTTCAATTTATTTTAGCCAAAAGTTAGCAATTTCGCTTAACAAAACCTCTTCTGATGCAGGAAATTGAAGTCATCGACCGACCATTCGAACTCAACCCCAAAGATCTTCACCACAATGGTTTTTATTTTTATTTTTCATTTACTCATTTAATTGAAGATGTACTGAATTAATACCAATATAACTACATAATTTGATGATAATTTAAAACATAAAATTTGAAGTTCTGATGATCCATAAATCTGCAAAAAAAAATCTCCTTTAATGTTAGATCACAGCATGAAGGATGGCTCCACCTACGGTGGGCTGCACTCCATTGGATCAGATCTCACTCGCACCCGAGGCCCCTCCGAAGCGCATAAAAGTGAATCAGTTCAAAGCGGGCAAACAGCTAATCGAAAAGCACGAGAGCCGGTCAACACTCCCATCAGTAGACATGAGGTTCACAGGCTCCGACTACTACACCTTATTATCGATCTTTACCAATTTCTCTTTTTTTCTTCAGCCAATTGCTTCTGTGGAGAGCGGAGTTATGGGAGGCAAAATCTGCAGCCCTCTTAAGGGCGAAGGCAGTCGCTCAACACAAGACAAAAGATCTCGTAAAACAAGCATGGTATGTAAAGCGTACTGTTTCTATCATTTTAAGAATGGAATACACTTTTTATGCATATGTTTATGGCATCTATAGGTGCTAGCTATGTAAATGGATTAGAATTGCATGGCATATATGTAAATATCCCATCATGTTTAATCGGAGATTTAATGAAAAACTTTTCATAGGTTAAGGAGTCGATTCTTCAGCACCTAAAGCGTCTGAAGACTGAAGCACAGTGATTGGTGAAGTACGAGTGCACTTTTGACTCGGAACAATTTTTTCATACTAAAAAAAGAAAAGTACATGTGTTTGAATTTCTGATGGTATAGCTATTCAACTTCAGTCAAAGTATAGTCTAACAAATAGAATTTGTACGACAAAATGGACTCTAGCTATCATTTCCTTTTCTTATCGAAAAGAAAATTAGTATTATATTTGGTTTATTTGGTTATTACAGTTGGCTAATCTAGTTGCCATTTGCATTGTTTTACAATCTAAAGTCATGCTATTATATGTTATAGGCGAAATGTGTTGCCATAAACTTGAAAGTTTTGCTTAACGAACATTTTGGTTTGATTTAATCAGTTAAATTTCGCTATAATCTATCGTTTGAAGTAATTTAAATGTCGAATTAGAGGATATGAAATCCTAATTATTACATTTTTATAATTTATTTATAACTTAAAAGACATTTGTTGATTGCAGGCTACAAGTTATAATTCTTTCCGTTATTCAATATATCAGAATTTTGATATACGTACAAAATATATTACAAAGATTAGTATGTTGCGTATTTTAATACAACTACTCTAATATCACTTTCATATATTCATCTGACCACATATCCTATAAAGTTAGTCTGGGACAGAAGTATCATTTGAAGACATTCATGGTTCCGCCCTTCCAACCCGCCGTCAATTTTTAAGCCTTTGATTTTTGGGAAAAAAATTGAGGGTCACAACTAATTTTATTCAAAAAAATTATAAAAACCCTAAAAACTGCAATGCAACACAAAACCAAATCAACAATACCTACTAGAGATCTAACCAAAAGCTAACAAAACAAAAAACATGGGGGAAAAAAACAGTAAGCTCTCAAATAGACAGATAAAGCTCCAAGAACAGTTGCAAGATCATCAAAGTCACAATCCAGAAATCACCACTGAAATCATCTAAAAAAAAGTCATAATGATCTTCAACCTGCAAAAAAGAAAAACAAAACGAGAAAAAATGAAACAAATAGAGCAAAGAAGAACATGAAATCAATTGAGATAATTTAGATAAATGACAATTGAGCTCAGGATTTATCTACAAAAATATTAAATTTCCATCCATGAACTAATGAATATAAATATTAAAAAGAACGATTAAAAGTTAATATATTATTGGAATTCGTCATAGCTCAACTAAATCGAACTTATGAGACAAAATCAAATATTTATTTGATCAAAGTCAGAGATATTTGAAGAAAAAAATCAAGAAGCAATAAAAAACCACGAGAAAAGAGCAAACGCTAACAAAATAGCAGAGAAACAATACCAAGAACCAATACAACCAACAAGAAACAAACAAAAAAAAATAAATTAAAATAGAAAACAAAAATGTCATCCAAACAAGAGCACTAGCAAAAAACATCTAGATCAATAGATCACAAAATAAAAATAAAATAAAATAAAGAAATAGGTTATCCTTTAAAAGAAAAAAACCAAGCTGAAACCAAAAACAACTAAAAGCCCAAAGAAAAAAAAGCAGCTAATAAAAAAAATATCAAAGTTTACTTTGATAAATATTAAATTTTCATCCATGAACTTATAAATATAAATATTCAAAAGAACTGTTAAAATTTAATATAAGATTGGGAATTGATGTGTGCTAGAAAATTTACGTTGGTAGAGTAATGTATCATCAACTTAGCGTTGCACAAGAATTCAGCACACACTCACGTATAAGAAAACAATCCAAAATGACACCAAAAATTTTTATGTGGAAAATCCTTATTATGGGGTCTGACTTAGATGTAACAATCTACTATAGATTGATGATTACAGAGTCTTATTGTCCCACATACAAGAAAACGTTACTAGGCTTTCTAATTTACTACGTCGACTGGTGGCTTCCAGTCGTTAGTGGTTGACAGTTATTGGTGGTGATCGACGACAGTCAATGGTGGTTGACAGTGACTATAGTGTTCGAGGCGGTCGGTGGTTGTTGATGGCGGTTGACAATGGCCGACGACGATCGACGGTGACATGGTTGGCGCTCTACTTCAGCTCCTTATCAAAGCTTTAAGTTATCCCTCAAGCCTCCAGTCTCCTCTCATGAGAGGGGTGGGACTCTATTTATAGTGTTCTGGGTGCAATTAATGTAAAAATATAAACCACTTTGATCGGACGGTCCAAATGATCTCCTTCGATCAGATAGCGTTTGAAGGACATTTGAGTGTCTGAACAATGTTGAAATTGAGCAATCTTGATCTCATTGGATTCTTCTTATCAAGACACTCGATTCGATTATAGGTTTGCTAAATTTGACATTCGTTTAATCTTCTAGACATGTCTGGAAAACTTTTAAGTGTGATTTAATAACTTAATATGAGCTTGATTTGACTCAGATTAGACTAATTTTGGTAACATTAGGTTCTTCATATCAGGCAAGTCAGTTTGACTATAAGTTTGCTGAAATTGGAGTTGGATGAGTTTATCGAGGTTTGAATATTTTTTGCCCAAAAAGTCGCCTATAAGTGCAGGTTATTTGTCACTATTTTTGGTCGAGATCATTTTGTCGATCAAAAATATCAAGATCTAAAGACTTTTTCTTTTTGTCATGTATATATATATACATATGAGTATATATTATATTGTCGCGAGAATTTATATAATAATAATATAAATCTGTAGATGTTGAAGCAAATAATTCAGCTCAGTAGGTTGGAGTTTTTTTTCTTCACACGGCGTGTGGCGAGTTTGATCCCTACATAGAACAAAAAATTAAGATTTTTTTTTACCGCGGGCTCGAAGCTGAAGAGACGGGCACGAGAGCCTTAATAGCTGGGTTTGAGAATCTGAAGCTGGGTGTGAGTCTCTGACCCGCCAAATTAGGATTAGATGTAGTTGAAAAAGAGGAATTTGAGAAGATTTTGGGAGCTTAAATGATAGAATTTTAATAAATAATTAATAATAAATTAAATGCAAAATAAAATAAGTGTTTTTGCTTAATTTTAAAAAAGATTTTGAAGCTATATCATTCTCTATCTGATAATAAATGGAAGTGACGGGTGGCTCTGGTAGGGTTTCGCCTCACGACGAACCCTAGCCTGCCACAATATTTTCACGCTCGAAAATTGCTCTGCTCCATTGTCTTTGTTCGAAAAACCCTGTTCATCGTCTTCGTTGAGCTTCTTCGAGGCTCTGCAGATCGTGTCTTCTGCGGTTTAGACACTTTCACGGTCGTCGTCTGTCTTCGAAGAGCTCATTGAGCTACGCATTCTGCTGTTTTCTACTACTTTGCATGCCCGTCTTCGGCTCCAGCTTCTGCAACTTCTGTCATTTGACTTCTACGACTTCGTTTTCTGCTTTGTCCTCTGCTCGACTTAGCAGTGCTTGTTTTTTGCTTCCCTCCTTCCAGATTTCGCTCGTCCATCCAGTGCAATTTTGTTGTACTTTTGTCGTGCCTCCCTATTGTGGTATGGCTTCAAACAGATAGTATGCTACCGCCCTTGTGGGAGCCCACACCTCGGGCACTCCTAAATCGTGCTACTTTGCTCCTTCGTTGGAGTTGGCGAAGGACTTCAAGAAACCTGGTAGAAAGAATGGGAAGCCTATCATTTTTTCTTACAAAAGCTGAATGTAATCAACTCACTTCCTCCTGTCAATTGAATTTGGTTGAGAAATTTATTTTTGGTCATCTTAAAATGGAGCTTATTAGTGGGAATTTGAGCTTATGCGTCTTGTTAGGGATTGGACAATTGGACTTTTAGATGGAAGAAACATTCGTATTCAACCCATTAACGAAGAGGATTACACACAATTATTTGCTAGAGGGGTAAACTGGATCGATAATAGAGCGATGGAGATGTTGGAATGGTCGGTAGATTTTGACTCACAGACGGAACCACCAATTATTCTGGTATGGATTCACCTACATGGCCTGAAATTTCATTATTTTTACTCAAAAAAATGTTGTATTATATTGTCTCAGCTTATGGTAAGCCACTCAAAACAAACATTATTACTTTTAATCTTTCTCGTCCATCTGAAGTGAAAGTACTCGTTGAAATGAACATCACTTCTACTGCTTCTGAGAAAGTTTGGTTATGCACACAACACCATGGTTTTGGCAAAAGGTTATGATTGAGTTTTTCCCTTTGTATTGTTTGGACTGTCATATGTTTGGCCACTCCAATTCTCAATGTCATCTTCTACACCCCCACCTCAGACCAAAGAAGCAAAGAGCTCTAGATTCCCCGTCCTTCTGATATGCTCCAAGTTATCAACAATATTGATCATCAAAAGGATACCCCTGAAGATGTCACTATCCATATGTCAATCATTCAGCTTCCACACAACGTTGTAGTTTCTTCATCTTTGGAACCTCCTTTCGTGGGGACGAGGGTCAAATTTTAAACTTTACTTGCCCTAGAACCTATCCTTGATTTTATGGGTGGCAATATTGCTTCTGCTTCTCCATCGCCTCATCAGGTCGACGAAGATGTTCATGTTACTCAGGCACATGGGGTTCATGATGTGCAACAACCTACACTTGTTCGACCACCTTTGGACCAATCCACCGATCAGATGATTCAATCATCGGATGAGGAATGACAATTTTACACATTCAAAAGAAAGGAGAAAAATGCAGATCTACTTGAGCTCGGGAATCTGATGGATGATACTTTGGTTACATCGGGTAATAGTACACATCTCATCAATTTTCTAGCCAACTCCCTTCCGAGAACTCGAGGCAGAGGCAGGACTAAACTGAGTCGTCCATATCTTTTTGAGCACGTTGATGGTTTTTGGATCTTATATGTATCTTTTCTTTTTTGGGTTTTTGTGTGTGTTGTATCATGTGGGTTAGTGCCTTCTTTTATGACCACTCAAACAACCTATTTGTACCTTTTGCTCTTTAATATAATTGCTCTAGGGCTTTTTCAATGTATATATATATATATATATATATATATATATATATATATA